ACCAAGTTACAAATCAAGGAATATAATGTACACTTAGCATGCTATGTGAATGCAACCGCCAATATTTAATTTATCTGACTGAACCTATTGTGTGAACGCAGCCACTTTGTTCCCACAGCACATCGAATGGAGACAATGTGTTGTGTAGACAATGGTATCCACAGTAGACCTTAAAAAAAAGTTAAAATGGCAGTTATGACCAGGGATAGCGCCCAAATTCTGATCGTGTGACTCTGGCAATGCTGCAGAAGGTTAAGCATTAGGTATTAGGTCAGTTGTAGGTCATTTTTTTCAATGCCACTGTAACTTTGGTCACTAAACAAATAGTTATAACTTGAGGCCTACCTACAATCAATGCCCACTCCTTTTTTCTACAGTGTTATATTTTACTTCCTGCATGGATGCCAATAATTGTAGGAACGCCAAAACTAGACAACTACCCTGTTTCCCCGAAAATAAGACATCCCCTGATAGTAAGCCCAATTGGGCTTCTGTGTGCATGCGCTAAAATAAGTCCTCCCCAAAAATATTTAAACGAATGCGCAGCCAGTTCCCGCCATTTCCTCTGGTTAGGGTTAGGGAGACACATCTGGAAATCAGGTAAAACAGCAAAAGGAGCCCTGTCTTGCTCCATACGCCCCAAAATAATAAGACCTCCTCGAAAATAAAGCCAAGCGCTTATTTTGGGGTTAAAAAAAATATAAGAGTCTTATTTTGGGGAAAATACGGTAGTTCATCTAAAGAAGACACCTTCATGCAAAGAGGTAATTAAGTCTGTCCAGACAATTGTTCTCAAGGACATCTAAACCCAGTCAATTAAATCCATTGTGTCCACACTGTTGACAGAGTAAGAGATGAAGAGCAGGTCTAGATGACGTCTGTAACAGGACTATTCCTATCATTGATTGGCTCCAGTGGCCAAATGCCACTTCCTATTGGTTGCTTGACATCATGAAGTCACTGGGCGTTGTGCCTTGTGATTCTTGACGAGTGTATCTTGTCTTTTTATGTACACTGAGAGCGTGTGCACCAAAGACAAATTCCTTGTGTGTCCAATCACACTTGGCCAATAAAGAATTCTATTCTATCTACGTACCTGGAGTCTCACGGTACAAGGCTCATTAGAGACCAGATAGAGCTGCAAAATCCAGACAATTGCTAGCATTAAGGGTAGGCACTTCCTAGAAATGCAGGACTTTTATTTGCAGAATGGGGATTTTGCAGTAACCTTCCCCTGGAGCGGGGAGGGAATGGAGATTTTACAGTATCCTTCCCCTGCCACGCCCACCAAGCCACGCCCACCAAGCCATGCCATGCCACGCCCACCAAGCCACGCCCACAGAACCGATAGTAAAAAAATTTGAAATCCACCACTGGATAACATAGTGTGACTCGAAGACAATAGATGTCACTAAGCTCCTTGAAAGTGGGAGATAACTGTTACAAAGAAATAACAATGCAAACGAAGTTGTATTCTCGGTTCCTTCTTATTGCTGCATTGTTTGGGTTATAAAATGAGTATAGAGGGGAAAATAGCCCTTCTCATCCTTTCTAGAGTAAAAACCCCAAATGTCACAATCTTTCCTCATAGTAAAGCCACTTTCGTTTTAGTTGACCTCCTCTGAACCTTCTCTGGCTCCACGATCTCTTTTTGGAGGACCACTAACCAAAAGCACACATAATACAGACTTGACTTATGAGCATAATGGAGTCTACCCATCACAGTTGTAAGTCACGATACAAAAATCATTAATAGCAATAGCACTGAGACATATATACCAATTCATAGTGCTTTACAGCTCTCCCTAAGCAGTTTACAAAGTCAGCATATTGCCCCCCAACAATCTATTGCCCCTAGCAAACTGGGTCCTCATTTTACAGACTTCGGAAGGATGGAAGGCTGAATCAACCTTGAGCTGGTCAGGATTGAACTCCTGGCAGTGGGCAGAGCTTGCCTGCATTCTAACCTCTGCGCCACCAGGGCTCCATTAACTGAATGTCATGGTCCTTAAGCAAATCAACGGTTCGACAGGGAAATAGCTTTTGCTGAAAACTTGAAGTAAATGTTGGTTTTACAAAACTGTCATAAAACGCGCACACGTGAACATGGGTCACTGCAAACAGCTGTAAGTGTGATCATGCTACTGAGTTCAATCACGAGACTGGGGGAGAGGGCGAGTACAGCAATGTCAGAACCTCTGGTTCATCATAACAGAGTAGCGTAGCGTAGCGTAGCGTAGCGTAGCGTAGCGTAGCGTAGCATAGCATAGCATAGCATAGCATAGCATAGCATAGCATAGCATAGAATTCTTTATTGGCCAAGTGTGATTGGACACACAAGGAATTTGTCTTGGTGCATACGCTCTCTGTCAGAACCTCTGGTTCATCATAACAGAGTAACATAGTGTAGCATAGTGTAACATAGCATAGCATAGCGTAGCGTAGCATAGCATAGCATAGCATAGCATAGAATAATAATAATAATGTCTCGCTTAGCAATATGAATAGAATAGAATAGAATAGAAGAATAGAATAGAATAGAATAGAATAGAATAGAATAGAATAGAATAGACTGCAGTTCGAATCTCGCCAGGCTCAATCAGCCTTCCATCCTTTCTAAGGTAGTAAATTGAGGACCAGTTAGCAATAGCTGAGTATAATATACAAAAATGAAATGTGAGCACATTGTAACTGAGTCTTAGAAGCATATAAATCAAATTAAAAAATAATAATAATAAGCTTAGCAATATGAATAGAATAGAATAGAATAGAATAGAATAGAATAGAATAGAATAGAATAGAATAGAATAGAATAGAATAGAATAGAATAGAATAGAATAGAATAGAATAGAATAACAGAGATGGAAGGGACCTTGGAGGTCTTCTAGTCCAACCCCCTGTTCAGGCAGGAAACCCTGTACCATTTCAGACAAATGGTTGTCCAATCTCTTCTTAAAAACTTCCAGTGTTGGAGCATCCACAACTTCTGGAGGCAAGTTCTTCCACTGATTGATTGTTCTAACTGAGCAGACAACGTTGGTCATAAGTGGAAGACTATCTGTATTCCAGATGTTCATCCCACAAAATGTTAGTGGCATCTCGATTTTCAATACCGTTTCTTATTCTCCCTAACATGCTGTTGAGTATTTTTACAGTGGATCCAGCCTGTGTTGATATCTTCCCTGAACTGTTTACCATGATTCCAAAATCTCTTTCTTCAAAACTCAGCGAAAAAAGAAGGGAAACCTCAGAAGCTGGCTGGGCTCACAATTTTCAAGAAAAACAACAATATCTTTAAGGGGGGAAAAAACTAAAGAGGAGAAGGAAGCTTCGAAATCGGTGAACATCTCAGTAGAAACAGAAGGCAGAGTAAGTGTTAGAAGGCCAGAAAAAGAACATCAGCAAGAGAGGACGAAGAGGAGTAATTTGCAGCTAAAACAGAGGTTGTCCAAATATACCGATAGTTCTCGACTTACAACAGTTCATTTAGTGACCGTTCAAAGTTGCAATGCCACTGAAAAAAGTGACTTACGGCCGCGTTTCACACTTACGAGTGTTGCAGCATCCTCCTGGTCACATGATCAAAATTTAGAAGCTTGGCAACTGACTTGTATTTATGACGGTGGGGGGGGGGGGCGGTCCTGTGATCACCTTTTGCGATCTTCTGACAAGCAAAATCAATGGGGAAGCCAGACTCACTCAACAACCATTTATTTATTTATTTTATTTTATTAAATTTCTATACCGCCCTTCTCCCGAAGGACTCAGGGCGGTGAACGGCCAGAAGATAAAACACAGAGATACAAAATTTAAAATAGATTAAAACGGATTAAATAATTTGGCTGAATTTTAAAATACCCCATAATTAAACAGATTAAAATTTGTGTTTAAAATTTAAATTTAAAAAAGGAGAAGATTTAGGCCAGGCCGTGTTCCTAATTTAACCACTGCAGTGATTTGTTTAAGAACTATGGCAAGAAAGGTCGTGAAATGAGACAAAATTCACTTAACAACTGTCTTGCTTAGCAACAGAAATTATGGGCTTCATTGTGGTTGTTAAATTGAGTCCTACCTGTACAGGGAGTTGTTGTTAAATGAGTTTCCCCCCATTTGACGATGTTTCTCTCCACCATTGTTAAGCGAATCACTGCAGTCGTTAAGTTAGTCACACGGTTGTAAATTGAATCTGGCTACCCCCGCCCCCTCCAATTGGCTTTGCTTGTCAGACGGTCACAAAAGATTATCACACAACCCCGGGATACTGCAACTGTCATAAATATGAGTCAGTTGCCAAGCATCCAAATTTTGATCATGGGATTCTACAATGGTCATAAGCAAGGGTGAAATGCTCCCGGTTTGGACCAGATCGCCCAATCTGGTAGCGATGGCGGTGGGTGGTTTGGAGAGCCAGTAGCAAAAATCCCTGCACCCCACCATCACCATGCCCAGCTGAGCCCCACGATCATCAGAGGCTTTTTTTTTTTACTTTTAAAAGCATTTTTTCTACAACCTCTTCCGACGAAAAAATGCTTTTAAAAGTAAAAAAAAAAAGCCTCTGATGATCGTGCGGCTCAGCTGGGATCATCAGAGGCTTTTTAAAGCATTTTTTTCTGCAACCTCTTGGCCGAAGAGGTGGTAAAAAAAATGCTTTGAAAAGTCTCTGATGATCCCAGCTGAGTTGCCTGATCGCCAGAGGCTTTTCAAAGCATTAGAAAAAATGCTTTGAAAAGTTTTTTAAAAAAAAAGTTGGCCATGCCCACCCAGTCACATTACCCACCACCACCAAGCCACATCCACAGAACCGGTAGTAACAAATTTTACATTTCACCCCTGGTCGTAAGTGTGAAAAACAGTCATAAGTCGCTTTTTTTAGTGCCACTGCAACTTTGAACAGTCACTAAATGAACTGTTGTAAATTGAGGACTACCTGCAATGTGTTCCAGTAACTGTAAAATAGTAACTACGTCTCGCCTCCTTTGCAAACAGGAGCTTTGACTTACCTGGCATTTTGCTGGGCGGAGAAGAGCTGGGTTGAGTGTGGTGAGGTGACCCATGGGACAGTAAGAGGTTCATAGTGTGAGGCTGACCCGTGCTGTAGGCATCCATGGCGAGCTTTTGCCGAAAAGCTTCTTCTTTCCTCCGGTTTGCAAACCAGTTGTAGACGCGGACTTCCGTGACCAGATTTGAACCCAAGCCGTGTGCTTTAGAGGGCGACACACCCCGCTGGAGGCATTCTGCCCTAGAGGAGAAAATTAAGAAAATTCCTAGAAAAGGGTTTGTTTGGACCCCGATGTTGGACTAACACAGGAGGAGAACTTTCTAAGAACATTACCAGGCTAAAAAATTGGTCCGGCTAGCTCAGGCGTCTGCAACCTTAAACACTCAAAGAGCCATTTGGACCAGTTTCCCACAGAAAAGAAAACACCGGGAGCCACAAAACCCTTCCCGTGCCTGACTACTTCTTGAGCGGCCACAAAACTAGCATATGTAGTTGAATTAAACGTTCTGTTTTGTTCCGAAACTTTTCTTTTTTGGGATTTATCCATGGTTGGCCTACCTGGGGTTGAAAAGCTCAATAAATTGTGTGCCAGAGGGTGTCGTACATTGGCGGTTGTGATGCATATTTTGAATGACAGGGAGCCACAGCAGAGGGGTGAAAGAGCCACATATAGCTCCAGAGCTGCAGGCTAGCTCAATATTATTATTCTAATTTGAAATAACTCTCTGATTTTTGGCTAAAAAAGAAAAGTCTAAAAAAGAATGTATGCATTGAATTAGGAATTATTTGTATGCAAAGAGACACCTTACCCCTAAGGTCCTGTCCTCACATCACCAGGACTGCAATAACAGAATTCAGTAACTATTTTTACATGTTGTGTCTTCGTGATACTGGTTGCGTTTCATCCTCAGTTCATAGCCGAAGCAGATGGGCTAACATTTATTTTATTTAAATATGTATGTCATGATACCTCATTAAAGCACAGCTCTCAAGATTTATTCTAGTTATTTATTTTTATCCAAGCTTTATTATTTTATAAGTAACTCAAGGGTGGCAAACATATCTAAAACTCCTTGCTTTGCCTATTTTCTGCACAACAACAATCCTGTGAGGTGGGTTGGGCTGAAGAGGGACTGGCCCTAAGTCACCTAGCTGGCTTTCATGCATAAGGCGGGACTAGAACTCACCACCTCCTGATCTTTGGCTCAAAGTCACGCAACTGGATTTCAAGTCTAAGGCGGGGCTAGAACTCGTCATTGCCTGGTGATTGGCCTAATGTCACTCAACTAGCTTTCATGCCTAAGGCAGGACTAGAACTCGCCATCTCCTGGTGATTTACAAGGGTGATTTGTAAAAAGTAATAGAGAAAGAGAAGAGAGAAAGAGAAGGAAGAGAGAAGAGAAAAAGAGAAGAGAGACGAGAGAAAGAGGAGAGAAGAAAGAGAGAAGAGGGAAAGAGGAGAGAGAAAAGAGAGAGAGAGATGAGATAGAGAGAAGAGAAAGAGAAGAGAGAAAGGAGAGAGAGAAGAGAAGAGAGAAAAGAGAAAGGAGAGAGAGAGAAGAGAGAAAGAGAAGAGAGAAAGAGAAGGAAGAGAGGAGAGAGAAAGAGAAGAAAGAGGGAGAGAGAGAGAGTGAAAGAAAGAGAGAGAGAGAGAGATTGAGATTTGTTTGCTTAGTTAGATGGTGAGGATAGCAGGGTTCTTTTCCCTTTGACCCAGAACATGCCAGCCCCCTCACATAATAGGGATTTTGGTTTGGAACAACAAAAGCTCCGCTCTCTGCCAACAAGCTGTGGGTTTATTTGATGCAGCAGCAGCAGAAGGGAAAATTCTTCTCTTTTGTCCAGAGCTTTTTTACCTGTTGCATTCCTCTACCAAGGCTTCCCTCTCTTCCTTGCTGGGGTTCTTTTGCCGGTCGTAGGCCTGGTACAAGATCTGCTGGGAAGCAGGGCCCCACTTAAAGCGGTTGCGTCTCATCTTCTTGCTGGGTGTTTCGGCACAAGAGTCGTCTATCTGGCCCACACCCTGGCTTTGCTGGTTAAATTCTGGAAAGAGAAACAGCAGCTGATCTTGACTGCCTTTTTCTGTCATATTTCCAGAACCCTGGACTGTCTGGTTGAATTCTGAAAGAGAAAGGAGTAGATTTTTGATTGGGCCTGCCGGTAGGGTTGTGTAACACACACCAGTAGGAAGAGAGTCAGTTGACTTTAAGGAATGGCTCAGGGCACGAGAACCTGGTTTCTTGGCCTGCATGGCTGGTTCAACCATCCGCTAGGCCAGGGGTCCCCAATGCCTGGGCCGCGGCTCACTACCATGGCCAATTTGGAACCAGGCTGCACAAGTAACAAGCCGGTGCACACACGTGCGGCTCGACTTGCACTTGCACAAGTCAAGGTACATGTGCATAGGCATGCATGGCGGCCTACCACTCGTGTGGCCTAGTTCCAGGGGTGGGCAGCTGGGAGTTCGCAGGGGTTCAGGAGAACCTCTAGCTAAGATTCTGTGCAGTTCAGAGAACCCCCAAATTCCACTCCTGGCTGGCCCCACCCATCCCTGCAGGTAAGTGCAGGGCACATGCGGAGGCTCAGGAAGGGCGAAAAATGGGCCTACCGGAAGTTCGGGAAGGCCGGAAACGGGGCTGTTTCCTGCCTCCAGAGGACCTTCGGACCTGGGGAGGCCATTTTTACCCTCCCGGAGGCTAAGGAATTCTGGGAGTTGAAGTCCATAAGTTTTAAAGTTGCTAAGGTTGGAGACCCCTACTTTATAGGGAGTGAGAAACCCACATATGACTGTCTGTAATCGTAACTTAAGGCACCAGGCTAGAACCCAGGAGACCGTGAGTTGTAGTCCCGCCTTAGGCAGGAAGCCAGCTGGGCAACCTTGGGCCAGTCACTCTCTCTCAGCCCTAAGAAGGAGGCAAGGGTAAACCAATTCTGAATTCTTGCCAAGTAAACTGCAGGGATTTCACACACACACACACACACACACTCACAGTCACACACACACACTCACAGTCGCACACACAAATCATAACTCCAAATGGGGGAGAAAAATATCAGCTGGATCTAAGAAAATGACTGCAGGAACCTTGGCCCTTTTACGATGTATGTACTTCAACTCCCAGAATTCCATGTGTGGACTTCAACTCCCAGAATTCCATGCTGGCTCAGGAATTCTGGGAGTTGAAGTCCACACCTCATAAAAGAGCCAAGGATTCACCCCTGGCTTAGTGGTTATTTGAAGTTACAATAGTATCTACCCAGAGCTACTTATGATCCGGATATGACAGTCTGATGGACACGCACACACAAACACACACGCTTTTCTCCAGAAACCAGCATTTATAGCAGTGTTTCTCAACCTTGGTAGCTTGAAGATGGGTGGACTTCAACTCCCAGAATTCCCCAGCCAGTGCTGGGGAATCCCCCAGCCAGCACTGCTGGCTGGGGGATTCTGGGAGTTGAAGTCCATCCATCTTCAAGCTACCAAGGTTGAGAAACACTGATTTATAGGTAGTCCTCGACTTACAACAATTCCTTGAGTGACTATTCAAAGTTACAACGGCACTGAAAAAAGTGACCTATGACGGTTTTTCACAGTTATGACTTTTGCATTATCCCCATAGTCACGTGATCAGACGCTTGGTTGATATTTATGATGGGGGGTCATAAATATGGGGTCACGTGATCCCTTTTTGCGACCCCCTGCAAGCAACATCACTGGGGAAGCCGGATTCATTTAACAACCGGGTTACAAACTTATCAACTACAGTGATTCACTTAACAACCATGCCAATTGTAAAATGGGTCAAAACTCCCTTTACAAATGTCTCACTTAACAACGGAACCTTCATGCTCCATTGTGGTTGTAAGTTGAGGACTATCTGTATTTCAAGTTTCTGGTAAAAAAAAAAACCACCATCCATTACAGACAATGGATTCGTTTATATTTGCTTAACAACCTCAGTATTTCACTTAACAACCACCCACAACAAAAATCATAGAATCAAGCAGAGTTATGTGGCAACATGCTTAACAACGGGCATAACTTGAATTTTGATCATGTGACCACGGAGATGCCGCAAAGGTCGTAAGTGTGAAACATGATCATAAGTCATCTTTTCCAGTGCCACTACAACTTTGAACTGTCGTAAATCAAGGATTACCTGTATTTTAAAATAACACTGTTAGTTTAAAAGGATTGCTGTTAATAAGTAATCCTTCAGAATTACAGTTTGGGGAGAGTTAATTGTCTGTCTCAGGGCTGCAGTGAATATTTCCTGAAGGGAACAGAGGCCCAGGGACCAGGGGAAATCCCTTGGCTTGGTGGTAAATGGAGGTTCCACTGCCATTCCATAATTGGCCAAAGTCACAGGGAGCTGAGCAGTAAATACATTTAATTAATGAATTTATTATGATTGATTCCCAGGCATCTCCCACAAAAATGAGTGGCAGAGTAGGAATAACTAGAAAAGGATAGATGGCTGGATAAGGCTACACAGAAGCTTAAGACTGGACGGTCTTCTCTATTGGCAGTCTTTCGCCATTGCAGAGTTATAGTGATCTCAAAGCCCAATGCCCATAAAGAAAGTGCTGCAGCTTTGATTGTACTGTTGTGGCCCCCATCTTGACTTTTTTGACCTTTCTCTTCTTCCTTCCTTTCTTCCTCCCTCCATCCCTTCCCTTCCCTCCCCTCCTTCCCTCCCTTCCCTCCTTGTATTTTTTCCTTCCTTCCTTCCTTTTCCCATTCCCTCCCTTCCCCCCTTCCTTATTCTCCTTCCTTCCTAGCCACTCCCTTTCCTTCCTTCCCTCCTGTCCCTTCCTTCCCTCCTTTTCCTCCTTGTATTCTTTTTCCTTCCTTCCTTCCTCCCTCCCTTCCTTCCTTCTTTCTTTCTTTCCTTCCTTCCTTCCTTCCTCATTCCCATTCCTTCCCTTCCCTTCCCCTTCCTTATTCTTCCTTCCTTCCAGCCACTCCCTTTCCTTCCTTCCTTCCCTCCCATCCCTTCCCTTCCTTTCTGCCTTGTACTTTTTCCTTCCTTTCCTTCCTTCCTTCCTTTCTTCCCCTGCTTCCTGCTTTCCTTCCTTTCTATTCCCTCCCTTCCCGCCCTTCCCTTCTCTCCTTCCCCCTCCCTTCCCTCCACTTTCTTCCTTTTGTACTCTTTTTCCTTCCTTCCTTCCTCCATTCCCATTCCTTCCCTTCCCTCCCCCTTCCTTATTCTTCTTCCTTCCTAGCCACTCCCTTTCCTTCCTTCCCTCTCGTCCCTTCCCTTCCTTTCTGCCTTGTACTTTTTCCTTCCTTCCTTCCTTTCTTCTTTCCTTCCTTCCTTTCTTCTTTCCTTCCTCCTTTCCATTCCCTCCCTTCCCTTCCCCTCTCTCTCCTTCCTTCCTTTCATATCCCTTTTCCTTCCTTCCTTCCTTCCTTCCTTTCTTCCTTCCTGCCTGCCTTCCTTCCTTCTTCCCTCCTTTCCATTCCCTCCCTTCCCGCCCCTCCCTTCCTTATTCTCCTTCCCCCTCCCTCCCCTCCCCTTTCTTCCTTTTCTACTCTTTTTCCTTCCTTCCTTCCTTTCTTCCTTCCTTCCTTCCTTTCTTCTTTCCTTCCTTCCTTTCCATTCCCTCCCTTCCCTTCCTTCCCCTTCCTTCTTTTCATACCCTTTTTCCTTCCTCTTCTTCCTTCCTTCCTTCCTTCCTGCCTGCCTGCCTGCCTGCCTGCCTTCGTTCCTTCTTTCCTTCCTTTCCATTCCCTCCCTTCCCGCCCCTCCCTTCCTTATTCTCTTTCCCCCTCCCTTCCCTCCCCTTTCTTCCTTTTGTACTCTTTTTCCTTCCTTCCTTCCTTCCTTCCTTCCTTCCTTCCTTCCTTCCTTCCTTCCTTCCTTCCTTCCCTTCCTTCTTTCTTTCTGCCTGGCCACTACTGCCTTCCATTCCGTTCCCCTCCCCTCCCCAGCTGACCTAAGACTACCCCAGAGATTCAACAGAAAAGCTGCTTTGGGACAAGAAAATTGCCCTAAATGGGGAAAGCTGACATTTCTAAATTCACCTTTTCTGCTGCTGATAACCACCACTAAGAACTGGTGGGGGAGGCGGAGAGCTGATACGTGCAGCCCTACCTCAAACTCATCCATCAAAGCGGTGATAATTAGAGTAGGCAACACCTTGTGGTATCTCACACTCCGCTTAAATCCCACACCATAAAAAAAAAGAAAAAAGTCAACAAGTTTATCTTTGGATGTGCAAGACTGTGGCCAGCTCATTGGATCACTTTGTCCTAACCGCATTGTTTCTCCCAAGAGGAGCTGGCTGCATTTGACACAATGGCCCATTCAAGTTTATCCATAATTGGGAGGCACAAATCTCCTTCTTTCTACTGTTCTTAAGAAAATAGGAAAAAGAACAGAGATTGAGAAAATAGGAAAATAGGAAAAGAACAGAGATTAAGAAAATAGGAAAAAGAACAGAGATTAAGAAAATTAAGTAAATAGGAAAAAGAACAGATTAAGAAAATTAAGAAAATAGGAAGAAGAACAGAGATTAAGAAAATTAAGAAAATTAAGAAAATAGGAAAAAGGACAGAGATTAAGAAAATTAAGAAAATAGGAAAAAGAACAGAGATTAAGAAAATTAAGAAAATTAAGAAAATTAAGTAAATTAAGTAAATAGAAAAAGAACAATTATTAAGAAAATTAAGAAAATTAAGAAAATAGGAAAAAGAACAGAGATTAAGAAAATTAAGTAAATAGAAAAAGAACAGAGATTAAGAAAATTAAGGAAATAGGAAAAAGAACAGAAATTAAGAAAATTAAGGAAATAGAAAAAGAACAGATTAAGAAAATTAAGAAAATAATAGGAAAAAGAACAGAGATTAAGAAAATTAAGAAAATAGGAAAAAGAACAGAGAGAAAGTGACACCTTCCAAAAATAAACAATTTCCAAGTGGCAAGAATTGAGTCAGTTTGATGTGCAGGTAGGCCTTGACTTACAACGGTTCATTTAGCGACTGTTGCAAGTTACGACGACACTGAAAAACCTCACTTATGACCATTTTTCACATCAATGACCGTTGCAGCAGCCCCGTGATCCCGTGATTCCATCATTCAGCTGCTTGACAACTGGTTCGTAGTTATGACGGTTGCAGTGTCCTGGGGTCACATGATTCCCTTTTGCGACCTTCGGACAAGCAAAGTCCACGGGGAAGCCAGATTCACCTAAAAACCTATTTTATTAACTTAACAACTGCAGTGATCCGCTTAACAACCATGGCGGAAAAAAAGCATAAAATGGGACAAAGCTCCCTTAGCAACTGTCTTGTGCTTAGCAACATAAATTTGGGAGGGGATCGTAAGTCGAGGACTCCATGTAAAAGCAGCTTCGGAGTTTCCTTTCACTGAGAAGCATTCCATCTTCATGTTTGGAGGACGGACAAGGGATCTGCGCCCACACGTATGTACAGGCAGTCCTCGACTTACAACAGTTCATTTAGTGACCGTTCAAAATTACAAAATGAGACTTAGGACCATTTTTCAGCAGGATCCCCATGCTCACGTGATCAAAATTCAGAGGCTGGGCAACCGGTTCATACTTATGACCTTTGCTGGGTCCCAGAATCACGTAGGATCACCTTTTGGGACCGTCTGACAAGCAAAAACAATGGGGAAAACCAGATTCACTTAGCCAACTCGGTTGCTAACTTATCAACTGCAGGGATTCACTTAACGACGGTGGCAAGAAAGTCGTAAAATGGGGCAAAACTCCCTTAACAAATGTCTCACTTAATAACAGAAATGTTGGGCTCAATTGTGGTCGTAAGTCGAGGGCTACCTGTTACAACATCCATCCCAACCTCTCAAACCATAGTATTACTTACGCCGGAGGATCTCTCTCTGTTTCCGGACATACCACGTATAGAGCGCTGCCCGCTTCTGCGTTTTCATCGGAGTCCCCTTGTTCAGATGCTGAGAAAGGTGTGACTGATTCAGTCCTGTGACATCCACCACCTCCCTTTGGGGGATGTTGTGTTGTTGCATGTAACCCTTGATCATCTTTGCGGCTCGCCAGGGATCTTCACTGAAAGGCAGGAAAAGATTCTAGTTAGTGCTGAGTCAATGGGAGATGCGGGAGAAACATTCAGATTAACAAGAGTTGGAAGGGACCTTGTAGGTCATCTAGTCCAACCCCCCTGCCCAAGCAGAAGAACCTACACCCGTGATGGCGAATCTATTGCATGCGTGCCACAGGTGGCACACGGAGCCAAATCGGTGGGCATGCGAGCTCAACTCCGGCACACATGCATGCACTGGCCAGTTCATTTTCAGACCTTCTGGGCCCACCAGAAGTCAGGAAACAGACTGTTTCCGGCCTCCGGAGGGCCTCCGGGGTATGTGTGTAGAAAGCCTGTTTTTCTCTCTCCCCAGGCCCCAGAGCCTTTCTAGGAGCCTGGGGAGGGCGAAAACGACCTTCCCCACCTCCCCAGAGGCCCTCTGGAGGCCAGAAATGGCCCATTTGATGACTTCCGGTGGGACCGGAAGGCCCATTTTTCACTCTCCCCCACCCCCCATTGGGGGTGGGGAAGGCTGTTTTCGCCCTCCCCAGGCTCCTAGAAAGGCTCTGGAGCCTAGGGAGAGTGAAAAACAGGCCTTCCCCACACACACCCCAGAGGCCCTCCGGAGGCTGGAAACAGTCTGTTTCCCGACTTCTGGTGGGCCCAGAAGACCTGAAAATGAGCTGGCCAGTGCATGCATGTGTGCCAGAGCTGAGCTCGCATGCCCACCGATATGGCTCTGCGTACCAAAAGCGGGCAGAGCGCGGGGGTCATGTGGGCATGCACGGGGGGCGCAATTATGGGTGTGGGCGCGCACGTGTGCGACCCCCTCACAATCCCCCTGCTTTTGGCACGCAATGGCAAAAAGGTTAGCCGTCACTGCTCTACACCATTTCTGACAGATGGCAGCTCAATCTCTTCTCGAAAGCCTCCAGTGATAAAGCTCCCACCACTTCCAAAGGCAACTTCTGTTCCATGGGTTGATTGTTCTCCCTGTCAGAAAATTTCTCCTTATTTCTAGGTTGAATCTCTCCTTCCATCCATTATTCCTTGTCTGGCCTTCGGGTGCTTTGGAAAATAGTTTGACCCCCTCCTCTCTGTGGCAGCCCCTCAAATATTGGAAGACTGCTATCATGTCTCCCCTGGTCCTTCATTGCAGCTTGTCCTGCCTGCAGGTGCTTTGGAGAATAAATCAACTCTTAAAAGTTATGAGGGCCTTGAAAAAATTGTCTAACAACCTGTACCTGCACTTAAAACCCATACAAACACACAATCATGTGATTGCAATTTGAAGAATTGGCAGCCCTTTCCCATTTTATGACTGCTTGTAATATCCTGTGGTCACATGATTGCAATTTGCAATCTGCTTTTTTCCCCCCTGGTTTCCAGCAAAAAAAAGTATCCATGCGGGAAGCTGGATTTGCTTAACAATCGTGTTATTTGCCTGACCATCATGAAATAAATTGTTTTAAAATCGGGTCTGATTGCAATGCATGCAATCACTTACAACAGAAATTATGGCCCCAGTTGTAGAAGATTTATCTGCATGGTGGAAGTTCATGGACAAAATTATGTATGCCTAGATCTACTAAATCTGCTAGTCTACTAAATCTACATCTATTAGATCTACTCAAATCTACAAAGATCTAGTTCTTACAATTACTATGAGTACAGTACTATTAGATATAGGATCTAGCTCTATTAATAACTGCTAAGAGTTGATACCAACTTGTTGAATCACAATCAGGAGAGAGCTAGAAGGGACTTTGGAGGTCTTCTAGTCCAGCCCCTTTGATGGTGCATAATCCATCAGTGATGGAATCCATGAAGGTCAAATTTATAAAACTGCAAATTCAGGGCACTAAAAGACAAAGCAAACCAGGAATTCATTTGATAGTACTGGTTTCCCTTGGCTCATCACATTAGAGCTTTGTGCAATGTGCAAGTTCTATTTCAAAGTCATTTGGATATTAAATTTTGTATCAATTATAGCTCTGCATGCATAAGTGATTTTAGATTTATGTCTCTAATTAAATTAAATATTAGCTATTTTTTTTTAAATCAAATTAAATAGTTAATTTTTATTTATCAAGTTGATAGGCCACCCAACTCCATCATGGCTCTGTGTTGAGTACAGCATGAAAGAATAAAAAGAAAAGGATATAAAGCCATATAAAAACAAACATCCAGAAGTAATATCATCAGGCCAATCATCCCACTGGCCAAGTGTCCGTGACCCACTGGAGGCCAACTTCTAGAGCTGTGATGGCAAACCTATGGCATGTGTGCCACTGGTGGCATGTGTAGCCATATTGGTGGACACACAAGCTGATTTTCGGGCCTTCTGGGCCCACCAGAAGTAGGGAAACAGGCAGTTTCCTGCCTCCAGAGGGCCTCGGGGGGGCGGTGGGGAAGGCCTGTTTTTCTCTTTCCCCAGGCTCCAGAGATCCCACCGGAAGTTGGCAAACGGGCCGTTTGCGGCCTCTGGAGGGCCTCGGTGGGGGGGGGAGGCTGTTTTTGCCCTCCCCAGACTCCTAGAAAGGCTCTGGAGCCTAGGGAGAGAGAAAAACGGGCCTACCGGGCCATTGCGTGCCAGGAGTGGAGGCAGGGGGGCTGCGCGCACATGCACAGGGCGCATAGGATTATGAATGTAGGCATGCGCATCCGTGACCCACCACACCACACCCCACTCCTGGCACGCGATGGCAAAATGGTTAGCCATCACTGTTCTAGAAAACCAGGCAGATTTTAAGGTCTTTTTTTGAATAAAGTAACATGAGGGAAGGAGGCAATGCAAAAGAAGCTGCACGAGGGAGGGAGGGAGGGAGGGAGTAAGGAAGGAGATAGAAGAGGAACTGTGGAAGTGAGAAAGGAGGGAAGGGAAAAGAAAGGGAAGGAAGGGAAGGGAAGGGAAGGCCAAATACCATATATATTTCAATACTAACAAGCAAAAACAGAATTTTATATTTGCAGCTTTTATTGAAATGCCTTAAAGTGAAATTCAGAGGCCAACATAGGCTCTGAGAAGGGGGACTAGAGCCCAGGTGGGCAAGCTGTATTCGGAGGCCTCCTGTGACCCCAACCATCCCTTTCACCATCCCTGAAGCTTCCCCATTTTTTCTCTTTTTTCCCCTTTTGACGTGGGGAGGCACTTGGATCAAGAGCCAAAAAAGGATATTATAAGCCCTGTGGAGATGCCTACTTAAGGCTGTAATTTCACATCTCCATTTCTCTCTCTCAAACCACCCCAAAATTTGGTCCTGCTTCCTCCATTAATGTCACAATTTCTGTGATTCGTTACTTGGCTAACGCTAAGAAGGAGGAGAGCCCTCTTAGTCAAAGAAATCAAGGGGTGTCTGGTAGCCCCTTTTCTGAATAATGCATTTTATTAAAAGCAGAAATTTTTGTGTGCTCAGATAATACTAGGCATCTTCTGATTTGTTGAAGCTTTCTGAAGCAAAATACTATCTAAATGTCTGTCTGTCCATCCATCCCTCCATTAGTCAAAAGTATCTACCATTAATCCATGTATCCATCCATTTAACTTATCTTCTATCAATCAACAGTATCATCTATTCATCTCTCTCTCTCTCTCTCCCTCTCTCCCTCCCTCTGTTAAATTTATTTGCTACCTATCTCAACCTGGGACTACTTTAAGCAGGTTATAACCATAAAAAGGAAGAAATGAAAAGAATGTGAACAGAAGTAAGCTAATAGAACAATGAAAAACAATGAAAAAGAACACAACAATATCTATAAATGTGTCATCTATCAAAAGTATCTTATCTATTCATCCATCCATCCATTATCTATCAACAGTATATATCAATGATGGCTAACCTTTTCTGGACTGAGCGCCCAAAGTGCATGTGTGCATGTGAGAATGGTTTGGTGGGCGTGGCTTGATGGGCTTGGCAGGGGAAGGATACTGTAAAATCTCCATTCCCACCCCACTCCAGGGGAAGGAAACTGCAAAATCCACATTTCCTCCCACTCAGCTGGGACTCAGGAGGCAGAGAATAGATGGGGGCGGGGCCAGTCAGAGGTGGTATTTACCGGTTCTCTGAACTACTCAAAATTTCCGCTACCGGTTCTCCAGAACTGGTCAGAACCTGCTGAATGCCACCTCTGATCTATCTACATTTCATCTATCTATCTCCCAAGTTTTCTAAGCATTGTTCTTAGTTAAATAAGAGGCAGCAGTTCTTAGCTATTTACTCCCAATATCTGCCTTGCCATATAAGATTTAACTCAATTAACCCACCGGCATCATTTGTCAGCTCCCACTCCCTCTCCTAAAAACAAGCAAACACAATCTCCTGTCACAATGAATGTATTACTCACCGATAGAGACATGACATTCTTGTGTTGCTCCTGTAGCCACCTATTCCTATGTCTGCCCCTCGCTAAGCAATGTGTGGGCTGGGAGGGGAGATGGGAAGAAATGACAGGCCAGGTCACCTCTGGGCATAAAATCAAGGTCAACACCTCGTATGGCCAGTGTGGACATAGTTTAGGGGTGGGGAATTTGTGGTGGGTGGGATGTGTGTGTGTTTGGGGATTGTTATGTGTGTTGGACCTGGTCTTTGGGTGTTAAGTGAATTTCGTTGTATGGGTATACTGTGTATACACGTACAATGACAATAAAGTTATTATTATTATTGTTTAGAGTGGTGCCTTTTAAAAAAAATCAGCGGTTGCCTTTCTTGCATACAGGTAGTCCTCAATTTACAACGGTTCATTTAGTGACCGTTCAAAGTTACGACAAAAAGTGACATTTTTCACAATTGCAACCGTTGCAGCGTTCCCAGGGTCACATGATCAAAATTCAAACGCTTGGCAGCCGACTCATATTGATGACGGTTTGTAACGTCTCTTACGGGGTCACGTGATTCCCCCCCTTTTGCCATCTTCTGACAAGCAAGGTCAATGGGGGAGCCAGATTCACTTAGCGACTATGTTACTAAATTAACAACTGCAATGATTCACTTAACACTCGTGTCAACAAAGGTCGTAAAACAGATTA